AAAACTTTTATTTTTTTCCCGCCAGCCTTTAGCTCAAACTGAAAGTTTTTTTACTAATATACACTAAATGATGCGGAGATTCAGAATTAACAAAACATTTGCTGACTGTACTAGTCATTTTTGTGTAAAAATTTAATTTTTCTGACCATCACACTATTTTCAGGCTAATTTTTAATTAGCTGTTTTCCACTACAGTTGAACTTCGTAACAAAACTTCTAACTCCATTAAATAGCCCATAGTTTGAAGTATATGTTGCACTGTTTAAATCGTTCATAAGGCAGTTTTTATATTTTCGCCTAATGTCGGCCTGAATGCACACTGCGTCTAGGTCAGTGTTTTTTTTAAAAGCTGTGTCGCGAAATACTCTACAAAACCTTACTTATACGTTAATTTCAGAACTTCAACAAAGACAACTACACAAATCAAAATTTGGTATTGTTTTCGACTTGAACTTTTTTTTTCTGCTATTATTTGCGTAAAAAAGTGTAGCAATAGTACTTCATAAGACGGTGAAGGAGAAAAAACAAACAGTTAGATACATTTTATTCTCTCCTTTTTTGTTTCTTGTGCTTACTTGTCATAGTGGGATGAGAGAAGGTAACATCTAGTCAATTCAAATGTTGAAGTTCATTTTGAAAAAATGAAAATCACACGGGTGGATAGAGCTCATTGTGTCCATTCTAATGGTGTGCTCTACGAAGAAACTTGACGTCGAATGATCGCGCACCGATGACGAAAGACAAAACAGTCTCGTTCTACCCGGTCCAAAAATACGGTAATTGCACGAGAAAATTTCGCAAAATTTGGGATAAAAGTCAAAATTGCTAATTTTGATAGGAAACACATTATGAAGTGAGGGCTATCGTTTAGTGAAAAAAGAAAAATTTGATCTCCTGTTATTGCTGCGTAAATCGAGAAATACCAAGAAACATACAGGTGTCCGCACACTTTTGACTACCTGCAGATTTGAGTTTTCATAGAGTACACAAAAATTTTCTTCGACTTCCATGATTTCAGCAATGATTTCATTGCCTCCTTTTCATGTAGTCCGTGATACCATTGGTTTATTCTCGGAAGAAGTCGGACAATTTATCGTGACTGCCCATCGAATCTGTACACTTGCATATCAAGCAAGTATTTTAGGTAATCGCACAGTCATTAGTTCGTCGCAATTGATCGATAAAGCCAAGAGGCGCGTCGAGTCATCATCCCCTGCTTTTCTTATAATTGTGACAAGAGAATAAAGAAAACAATGAGTATTTCGCTTTTATCTTCTGATTTCGGTTTTCATCGTATAAGAGAAAATGTGACGAGTTTTTTGAACTGATTGGAAACAGAGATCACCTAGGTCAAATTCAGATGACCTTTTTTTGAAAAATAGCTGAGCATAATGTGTAACTTGTGCACTCCGAGTTAGAGTAAAAAAGGCAATTAAATACTCTCGACTTAATGCGACATTAATTGATCAAGTTGATGGATTATGTATGTATTAAATTCACAATGAGAGAGAAAAACGTAAAAAACTAAATTCACGCTAGAATAGAAAATTTATTCTTTTTCATTTCGTTCATTTAAAGGTAAACGTTCTTATATCTATTAGATTATTTTATTTGAAAACGAATATATAACTATATATCTATGTGTAACTTATATTTATAAACAGGAAGAATACAGTTCAGCTTTAGATTGCGTTAGATTGTGTAGCGGAGAATAAAAAATGAAAATTTGTTCTATTCTGTACACAGACTTGTATCCGATTTCTTTCAGTCAGCAAAATCATAAAAAAGAAAAAGAAAAAGAAAAGAGAGTGATATTGATCTACATCTACGCGTAGACCTATTTTTAACGGCTTCTTTAAACGCCGGGAGATATTGATCTATTAAAAAGTGAAAATTTTCTGACAGGTCTATCATGGTGTAGCGCCCATAGGAAAAATTGAGGCATCCCCATTACAAACAAAAACCCATCTACCTATCAGACGATCCTTAGCCAGGGGAATCTTAAAAGTATATGGAAACATAGGTTATTGACTATGCTGAATCTCGTGGCAATGTTAGTTTTCAGAACAAAATGCAACAACCTAGTGAAAATCTACCATAGGCGAGTATCCCATTTTTGATTATTTTCATCAAAAACCAAAAATTTCATAATCTAGTAAAAATCCATCCAACCTACTTCACAATGTTAGCAAATACTCCATTTTATCTGCAACATACGGTAAAGCTCAACAAATGTTGAAAAAACCAACAGAAAATACTTTGGTTTTTAGAAAGGTTTTGCAGAAACCGTTGGAACTAAGAGAATATTTTTTATTGATTGTACATACAGAATCAACATGAGCAGCTAAAATAGAGTATTTTCTGATATTCTGAAGTGGATTGACTGAGTTATGAATTTTGTAGTTTTAGATGAAAATAATCAAAAATGGGTTACTTCACCTATTATAAGTTTTCACTTGGTTGTTGTTCTGAAAACTAACATTGCCACGAGATTCAGCATAGTCGACAACCTATGTTTGCATATACTTTTAAGATTTCCCTGGCTAAGGATCGTCTGATAGGTAGGCCTTCGGAGAACCGCTGCAGTTTCTGAACGGTGGTAGATGGAGATCTGGAACATGTGCAGATGTAAAGAGATGATGTCGCTCTATATCTAAGACGTTTTTAAAGTATAGTTTGTTATGATTGTTTTTGTAATGGGAATGCCTCAGTTTTTCCTATGCGCGGTACATCATGGTATACCTGTCGGAAGTTTTGACTTTTTAATAGATCGATGTCCCCCGGTGTTTACTACTGGAAAACGAAACCGCTGATCTCCATCTTACTCTATTCAAAAGTTATTCAAAAAACATCGAAGGATACTATACTTTGAAATGGATAATAGTTAGTGTATGGTATGCCTTCTGAGGGTCTGTAGCAAAACTCTTATAACTGTTTTTGCATAAATATCGACGGTTAATTTTGTTCAGAAATGTTTGCAATACAAAGTAGCATGCTTTCAAATATTTCAGGCTTCGACTTTCTATGAATGCAGCTCAATTCATGAAAGTAACATTTATAAGACGTGTAGAACACTTTTGCAAAAATCTTCGAGAACCGTCCGCGAAACTCAGAACATTGTGAGTTTTGATATTAGACATTTGGGCTATTCGTTCATCTGCTTCCCTCCATAACTGGGTTATATGGGTAACTTTAGGAGAAAATTGACCGGTAGTGGAGGAAGAAGAAATCTTTTTATTGAAGTTCAGCATATATATCATTTATTTGACATAGGAATGGGTTTGAATGAGTAAAAGGAAAAATATATAGACTTCTCTTTTTCTTTGTTATATTCTTGAAGTAGTCAGACGAATTAGCTGTCATTTGTGTCAGATGATTACCTATCACTATGTTGAGAAACGATCACCTTATGTCTGACGGCTGTGTTTAGTCTTTTGATTGAATGTCTGATTTGGTTGTTCAGAATTTTACAAGGAAAACTAGCGGAAACAGTAGAAGGTCAACTAATATTGTAACATCAGCAATCGGATAGTGATTTTCCCAACGTTACAAAACTTGGTCGAGCATTTGGTTCCTTCATAAAACATCGTTTAATTATGTTATCATAAAAAGTCTCCGGACAATTTGTAGGACGATCATGAGTGACTCCATTTTTGACTGAACGAAATACCCAGGATGCATTTTCTCCTATATACGGATCTTCTCCTTTCAGCCACATTTCAATTAATACTATTCCAAAAGCCCATATATCAGCTTTAATGCTGTATTTTGTATTATCATCCAATAATTCTGGAGAAGCCCTAAACATACAAATCTTAGAAAAATTTGTTTCAAATAATATGAATCAAAGTCATTTCTTCCCGATTAAACTAAGTTAAAAGAAAGAAAAGCAATCGTTCAATAAATCTTACCATCGCAATGGTATCCAATCATCGTTGATTAACTTTGATACACCAAAGTTCGCTATTTTAATTTTATTATTTTTCCCAAGTAAAATGTTACGGCAAGCAAGATCTCGGTGAGGATAGTTGTTTAGTTCTAAATGAGACATACCACAAATAATGTGTTTTACAAAATCGATTATTGTTGTTTTATCCGGAACTGTTGGTTGGTTTTTCAACCATTTTTTCAAACTACCATTTACCATGAATTCTGTCACTAGAAACGTTTCTTGTGTCATTGGCTTTACTGAAACACCCATTACTGTCACCAAATGATGATTTCGTACATGTCTCATTGATTGAATCTCTCGCGCAAATGTGGCAGTAGAAATCGGCTCATTAAACTTAATTGTTTTCACAACCACTTGAACTGACTCACTCTTTTCTTTTTTAAACTGACCAGACCAAACTTCGCCAAACTCACCCATAGCAATCGTTTCAATTAGTTTTAGTTCGTCGTACGAAATGTACCATGGTTCACCTTCATAATCAATAATGTCACTAATCACTTTTGTTAGTGGAATTATTCGAAGAAATTTTGGATCGTTCACTAATTCATGAAAGGATTTAAAAAAGTAATTTTTTAATTCCTCTTCATGTGCAAAATAAAAGTGTTGTTTTTCTGTATCAACAATTATCAAATAATGCCAAATCAATGAATTTAACCTTAAGTTCGGTTGATAGACACTCAGAGCATAGCTACTACCCATGTGTGCAGCATGACGTATCAAATATGCGTACGGGATATTGTACTTTAACAAGCAAGTTTCAGCGGCATTTCGGCCCTTAATTGCAAGCCTTAGTGGCGTAGCATCGTCTAATTCAACATAAGTTTTTGGAATATGACCATCTTTGGATGTGCGCAAATGTCTCACATAAAACCATCCATCTTTATTATCTCTAATAAATTCAAATTCATCACCACTTTCAAATGATAAATCTGTTGAATGAATGGCGTCATATGGATACGTCGCAATATAGATCGGTGCTGCAGTGGCTGATTCTGAAAAGAAGAAAAGTATTTGTAGTAACTCAAAAATTAATGTATGCATTTTAAAATTCTTGTTCATATTTGTTATAAAACATGTTCTATCACTAGATAGATACCAACTGACTAATCTATCACGCACAAAAATAGTGCGTCATCACGAAGTCGAGCCCATAGTTCGACTTGCGAAAGCTGAAAATTGGACATTAGGCTACTGCTTTGGGAAAAATCGAATTAGAAACTAGAGCGAGGTTAAACTTTCAGTACACGGAAACAATCGTATATAGATTAATAATTTCTCTACTCTAGGATAATCAATAATTTAGAGCAAACTAATAGTTTGATGCTATCAAACCAACTATTATACATTTCAAAATATAATGGCTGTGGATGTTTCTGAATAACTTGGGAAGAAAAGGTGATAGAGAGTAGACCTGTAACAGTTCCAGCTCATAAGTTCAGCTCATTTGAGCGAAAGAACTGTTGAACAATTCTTTTGAAAGGAGCTGATATGTTTGAACAGCTCTTTTGAAATTTTAAAAATTGAAATTTTTTGAAATTTTTTTCAACGACTACTGCTAAA